TCTGGTCCACGTTTTGCTCTCATACTATCAAGCTCCAATTTATTATGGTCCCAGTTAGAAATCAGTCTGGGTAACCAGGCACTGTCTAGTTTCTTCTGGTTAACCCACAAAGTAGTCACAGCCTGATTTAAAAAAAAAAAAAAAAAAAAGATTGCCAGGCCTTTCTTCTTAGTCTGTTTTCCTCTGGACCTTCTGTAGAAACTTGTTCATCATCACAGCAACAGGCAAACGTCCATTGTGTTCTTGTTTATAGATAAGGAAGCTCGAAGAAGTTCAGCAACTTGACAAAGACTTGCAGGTCTGTCAGCCACCGAGTCAGGCCTGGGATCCTGAATGTGGGCCCCAGCATCAGTGACTGCTCAGCTGCAGTGACCTGCACTAGTGAAGGGTACCAGCTACAAAGTATCTTGCAATGGGAGGCTCTCCCTGAAAAGACCCCACAAGCAGAACTCCATCTCTTTGGCCCGTTTGGTCTTGGGGCCCAGCTAACTGTCCTTCCTGACAGTGACTTAGCTGGAGAAGCCCTCCCCTTCAGAGCCCTGGGGCAGCTGTGCACTGCTGCCCCACAGCTGACCACAGCCTGGCTCCGTCCAGGGCTTCTTTTCAGTTATTGTGACATCTCACAGCTAAAATGACTTCTGATTTCATGACCAAGGTTGCAACAGAGGAAAAATTGTGTTAACAGGGGCAAAGCAAGCTACAAGTGCAGTAAATATCACCACTGATGGAGGATCAGGAGTTTCAGATCACCTCTGGGCTCCTGGTCACACTTCGCGGCCACAGTGCCCATCAGTCCCCACTGTTGTCCAGTCTGCTCTGGCCCACAGTGACCCTGCAGGATGGAGGAGAACTGCCTCTTAGGATTTCCTAGGCTGCAGTCTTTATACAAGGAGCTCTGGAGGCCTAGTGGCAAGAAGCTGTGCTGCAATCTCAAAGGCACAGGGTTTGAGGCCACCAGCCACTCTGTGGAAGAAGGATGGACAATCCCTTCCTGTGTGATTAACTGCCTCTGAAAACCTGCTGGAGGGTCAGCTCTGGGTAGGTTCTGACTCTACAGTACACAACAACAACAACAACAGCAATCTTTATACAAGTAGACACACAACGGAGTATTGCTCAGTCATGACAGAAACAACCCACGTGTCCATCAACAGGTGATGGACACACAGTGTGGTCCATTCACATGATGGAGCACTTCCCAGCCATAAAGAGATGCAGCCCGGATCCAAGCTATAACATGGATGCAGACTGAGAAGACACTAGGTGAAACAAGTGAATCACACATGGCAAGTATTGCACATCTCACTTCAGTGAAATGTTTGGAAGAGGCCAATGCATAGATACTGGAGTTTATTAGCACTGTTGGGAAGCGGGGCAGGCATGGGGTCATTTCTTGCTGAGGGAATACTGTCTGCATGAAGCTGGGGGAGACATTTGCACAGATGAGCCAGGGCTGCATGGCTGTGATGAACACAGTCGGAGGACATGCATTTCCTAATCTACAGTGTGAGAAGAGATGACGCGGTGGGGCATGGTGGTCTCGGAGACCCTGCGGGCGCTCCTCCACTGATGGTGTTTTGAGTTCTGTGTTTCACAGACACTGCATTTCTCTCTTCAGCCAGGTGGGGGTCTGTGCCCACCTTCACTGAGCAAGCCCAATGGGCTGACTGACAGCATGTGCATGTCTCACGCTCTGGGTCCCATTCTCCCCACGGCCGTACTATTTCAGACTTCCTCGACAGAGTACTCAGGACTTGAACTCCCTACTGATGAGCTGCTTCCGACTCTTGACGGCACTCCGCCAGGGTGCAGAGCCTGTAAATCACAGTGGGAGAGACTTCCTATCTCCTCCTGCACAGAGGCTACTGGATTTGAACTGCTAGAGACTGTGAGCGGCACACTCACTACACACTAGACTACCAGGTCACCTTTCTCAAACGCAGTCGAGTGTGAAAACTGGGGGACCAGAGATTCCGAGTAACTCCATGTATTGCGCCCTTTGCTTTATACCATGCTCAGGAACCAAACTCAATGCATCTCTGATATCTGGCTGGAGTCCATCTTCCGTGGCAGCAGGTAGGACAGGAAGGGAATGGCAGTGCCCACTTGCCCTCCACACCCCTGGGGCCTGTGTGCCAGAGCTAAAGACCCTCTCATACAGCTCCATTGTTGTTGTTGTTATGTGCCATCATGTCGTTTGCGACCCATAGCGACCCTATGTACAAAAGCCCTAAACCCTGCTCTATCCTGTGCCAATCGCATTGCCTCTGACATGCCCATCCCAATTACCCCAGTCACTGAATCAATTCACCTCATAGAGGGTCTTCCCCTCCTGTGTTGTCCCTCCACCCTCCCAAGCATGTTGTCCCTCTCCAAGGACCTGTCTCTCCTTACAACATGTCCAAAGTATGTCAGAAGAAGCCCCAGAATCCTTGCCTTCAAGGAGTAGCCTGATTTAATCCTCTCCAGGATGAATCTGTTTGTTTTCTTGGCAGTCCAGGGTACATTCAATACTCTTCTCCAGAAGAGTATTGTCCAACTCTCTGATGCATAACAAGTGATGGCAAAGACCATGGCCTGTATCAGGCGCACCTTAGTTTCCAGAGAGACACCGTTGCTCTTGAGGACTTTAGAGAGGTCCCCAACAGCAGACTTTCCCATCGCAATACGTTTTTT